CCGCTTCGCCACGTCGAGGTAAATGAGTGTGAAAATAATAAAATATTGTTTGCACAAGCATATTGCTATGGGTATGGTATTGCTAACAGGGAGAAAGAAATTACAAGAATAAAGCATTGCCTACGACTAATTAACGTACTGTTAATAAGTGAGGAAACTGTAACGAATCCGATCATCTAGTGTGCAGTTTATAAATTTATCCGTCGGCCCGAGGCTTAATAATGTACATGCGCTGTTAATTTAAATGGCTTTGCTCTCGTTTCCATGTTCTCGTTACAATAGGAATTTTTTTTATATACGATGACAGAAATAAACAGATGGGAAAGTTAAAGGAATACAAAACAGTAAAGAATTACAGCAATGCGACAAGTGGCATACAAGATATATCTTGTGTCTTAAATATGATTTTTAGGAGGTATAAAATATACCTTGATAAATTATTAATATTATACGTCACGACCCGATTGACTTAGTGGGTAGTACCTGCCACTAGCTTCAGAGGGTGGGGGTTCTATCCCTGCTGTCCGGGTGTTTATATAAGTATAATATGTATTTACTTACAAAAGAAAATTATGTTCATAAGGTATCTAGTACCCATAGTACAAGCGTTGCTTAGTGTGGGACTAGAGACGTTGTGTAAAAATGTGCCCTAAAAAGTAAAAAATAAGTACTTAATTTCATAGAAGCCGATTACACTACTTTAATTTTACATTAATTTTGAGTAACATTAGTTTTATTACTTGCTAAAATTTATTTATAAAGTTACAGTTTTGTGTTGAGGAATGCATAACGTACCGAGAAGTTCGAAATAACTAACGCAAACTAGCTTTGTCATGCAGTACTAAAAAATGTAAGTAGGAAATATATTTTCTTAGAAAGGAAACTTAACTTCGCTCGGCTGTCTCCGAACCCATTATTATTTCGCTGCACAACTTGTTAGTGTCATCTGTTAGGTGCAGTTAAAATTGAATTCCTATTTTGCTTTCATATAATAATAAGAAATGAATCAAAAATTTTGACCTGAAGTTACGTTTAGAGCGTTGATCAGTTGTTTCACTTTAGATTATAGTTAAATAATCATATTCATGTTATTACCTACTATTATATGAATTGCTATATATATCGTATACCTTTAAACGAGCAATTCTTGTATGTATATATATAATCGGAATCTCGGAAACGGCTACAGCGATTTTCATGAAATTTAGTATGTGCTTAGATTCGGGGTCGAAAAATCGATCTGGCTAGGTTTCATTTTTAGAAAATGTAGTTTTGTTGTATAAATTTTGTTTAATTTTACTAAAAAATAATAAAAATGTTATAATAGCTCGGTCGGCAATCACGCGGCCCCGAAACAGAAGGCCGTGGTTCGTGTCACGATCATTTACACACTTATTTTTTTACTTTTTTTTCGATTCCAGATCATTGCTTTCTTTATTTTTTATCGATACAGATGATTTTGTTATTTTTTTCCCTTTTTTTTTAATGTTATTTCTTTTGTGAAAAACAGCAGTTCATATTTTCTTATAAAACAAACCGAGCAAAGCTCGGTGCTCCAGGTACTAATATGTAACTGTTGTTCTTGTTAACTTCATGTTGGAATATTCATTTCGATTTCATTATGTTTAGTCGACATAAATATTTGTTGTATCGATGCCAATACTATATAAAACGAAAAAACTATGACTACTACCGGCGAAACGTAAAAGGAAAAAAAAAGTTCTATTTCCCCGCATCTTCACCTTGGTTGCAGACGACAGGGAGAGGCTCGTCCTCTACCATACTCTACCTGTCCCCTGCACCCTCCTAGCACGCATCCAGAGTCCTACTCAATGAGGTCGCAGCGGCCCTCTCGGGTAGACCGTACACCGCAGGCTAGCCCAGTACGGGATGTTTTTAGCCGGGTAAGTGATGTATTCGTCGTTGGTGTTGATGTCGAATCCGTCCCTGTCCAAGAGCTTGAAAAAATCCTCCAAGGTGTTTCGGAACAGTTTAGGAGGAATGACATCTCCATGTCTAACGCCTCTGCAATTGAATTGCTTTCTTGCTCACGCTCTGTAGTCGGATAGGCTTCTTGGCGTCTCTATGCAAATACTTCAGCACTTCGAGATACCTACAATCATAATGGCATCGTTGAAGGTTCAGAACCAGGTTTCGATTGAATCGAAGGTCACCTCGAATTATCAAAGTAGAAGAATATTCATGCATTCGGTGTTCTGTATGATCTGGTGGAGTGTGTGGTGCCTTTTCGAAACCCGACTTATACGGGAATCTGGAATTCATCAAACCTGCGTTCGAGACGATTCGAGTTAAATTGGTCGCCTCCTACAACACCCCCATGATAATGGATGGACGCTATTTGAGGACCCAATTGGCGTAGTGGATAGTAACCCTGTCTCTTGCGCCAGAGGATTTGGGTTCGATCTCCACTACTGTATTGTTATTTGAAATATAATTGTCATATAAAATGACAATGACCAAGCTAAGTACTCGACGTACTCTACCAAGTAAATCGTGTCCCCAAACTTATAGAATAATAAAAAATAACTCTAATAATGACTGCATTGTGTATATATTACACAAATTAAGTTCCATATAGTTATTGTGCACATTCAAAAATCATCTTAAATTATTAAAGTTTTTTAGACATTGAAATTTTTAAAGTAAAATTAAAAGTAAAAAAAAAGTACGAAAAGTTTGTCGCCGCTGCGGGAATCGAACCCACGTCTTCGCGGCCTGATGCTTTAGCCACTACGCTAAACGGCTGATCGCCACATCGATGAAAATCTTGACGGTTCTTTACCTACATTGTTTATTCGTACTTTTTCAATAAATTTTAATGTTTAATCTTAAGTGCAGAGATTAGCACTATAAAAAGTTAAATTTGTAAAAAGTTTTTTAGTATAATAATTTTTTACTAGATGGCACTACGTGTATTGAATAAGAATGTTTCTAATAATATACCGAGCCCCAAACAAGTGTTTTTAATTTTATTATTTTTATTTTGTATGCCGACAGCCATTGTGATTTACTGGCGGATTGAGACTTTTTAGGAGATGTTTTAAGACTCTTTAAGGGTCGGTATCAGCATATTTATCCCTATAAATTATATACGGTGCCATACTAGTTATAGCCTATCACACTTATCTAAGGCAAGAAGCTTAATTTTTTTCAGTTCACAATCTCACTCATCAAAACGATGCCGCATGTACGAAGTGTACAACGAATGATGAACGATGAAATTTTGCCTTATTTCTTTGTTCTACTGGACTTTCGAGGGTTTAAACCAAAAAAAATTAGAATATGTAATCACTATTGCTACTAACAACCTTATTCTCTACCATCTCAAATAAGTAGTGAATTATTTTGAGTAAATGTAAAATATATTTTTTTTAATTTTAACGATCCTTACTAATATAATAAACGCGAAAGTTTCTATGTATGTTAATGAATCTTTACAAAATATAGCTTATACATCAGTTAAAAACATAGGCTATAATTTATATACATATTTTTATGTATATCTGTCTTTCTGTCTGAATTTTACGCCTTGAGCCTATTCTACGCAGACGTAGTCGCGGGCAGCAGGGTTCAGTCTGGTTAGTAATTTGGAATTCTTAACCAAATAGGAGATATTTCAGATCTTAGTGGTTAGTACGACAAAACGCAAATTTTATATGTAAAGGACCTAATATATATTCTCTTCTTCCGATTATAGACTCGCAAAATTTCAAACTCCGAGCATAACTTTGATCGTAGAAAGTACCAACTTTCTGGAACTTTACTTACTGCGTGTATGGGATGGGTGAATTTTTTTAAATCCATTCACGAGTAATTTTATTTTTTTAAGGAGACTGTGGCAAGCAACGGTTGAAGTTTCAACTATTTACATTTTCTAAAAGTTCGGGTCCCTAGATCTATTGTTATGCTGCCGAAGCGTGTAGGTCAATTGTTGAATAATATTTGCGTTGACAGAATAGCGTTCTCAACTTAGTTGTGCGATCGTCTTATCTCGCACTTCTCGCAGTTGCGTTGTGGCAGACGTGCGTAACGGTTCGGGACCACGCCCCCCGTGTCTTGTGGCGGCCGCTATTTAAGATGCGCGCGCATCTCTACCCCGAATAAGGGTTAGGTCACACTGACCAATCTAATTTTATAATAATAATGATAATGTTAGTATTATGGTGGAGGCAAAAATACCGTAAATTTTTTCTTAGAAATCTTTCTTTTGTAGCTTATATTACATTATATGAATTTGTTGATTTAAAAATTTAATACATTATTAAAACTACTTAACTAAAATCAAATATTTACACAGAGCTCTTAATTTTGCAAGATAGTTCTAAATATTTCGTAATACCTGTCTAGTGCAATTGGAATTATCATAACTAACATATTTCGATAGAAGAGAAATTGTAATGGTTTTATGCAATGTTGCTTTTATTTCAACAACAATAATTATTATTCATATTCTAAGAACATAAAAAGTCACACCGAATCATTAAGAGCTGTCAAGAACATGTAAACGTAGCTTTAAGTTATATGTCGTTCATGTGATGCGTTAGGAAAAATCTCTAGCTAGAATCAGCAGCGCAGCGCCACGGTTCAGTCGCCGAAACTCAACGACGTCACGCGTGCGTCGCTAACGCCATCTAGTACAGCACGTTGCCGAACTCCAACCTCGCACCTGCCTGACGCTGAGCGCGCGACCGCGACATTCGCCGTCGCGCTCGTGTCGTTTTCGCTGGCACGTAAAAATAGCCTCAAAACGTTTGTGAATAAATCATTTATTCAAAATATTGCTAGTCTTATACTACAACAGTTCTGGCATTATTTGAGTGATATAAATCCGTGTTACAGACGTGATAACATTAAAGCCTCTAATGGATTGAATTAAAAAGTGTTACAATACAGTGGTATCAGAGAAATTAAAAGTTTCCAAAGGACAAATGTTCTTTTTGGTGGGCTGTCATCGGGCAGCCCCCAAATATTATCGCAATATGTGGTGGTTTGTTATATTTAGTGCTATTTACATTAAAACTTTAGGAGTGTCGGGTTCCAATAACACTGGAGTTATTGCAAACAGTAAGTATAATATGGTTTTATTTTATTCTCATGTAGGAATGGAAATATTAAATGTTATAATAATTTAAAGTAGACAAAATAGTGTCAATTTACGATTTACATAACTTATATAGTTAAATTTATTGATTTGTATTTTTTCGAATAACCTTTTCACGTAACTCATTCTATTTTTAAGATGTTGGCGAATTAATTATATTCAGAACAGGTTTCTTACGTATGCACGTGGTCGGTACTTCTTTATAGAACGTCTTGTTTACAATTTTGTTTGTACAATATTTTTTAGACTTAAATAGACTGATAAGCGTATCACGCCATCTGGTAACAGATAAATATTCACACGATGTTATCATATTGTGCCTGACCTGATAATTTTAACTTATTTTTGGCAATCTTTTTTTTGAGACATTATTTAAAATTAACACTTACTTAAACTTAACTTGTAAATTAAACGTTGATTAAAAAAATAATATTAGTATTGCTAGAATCAGATACACAGAACCAGGTAACATTAAGATGTAGTTCGCCGAACCGAAATGTTTTATTAATGAAAAATGTATGTTTTATGTAGCACGTCGCTTAACTATAAGCGCTATATATAAAATATATACTATATTTTAGTTATTTAAATGGGAAGCAAACCTAAATTTACATGATAATGTGCGCAGCAATGATTACTACACAAATTTACTGTTATTATTATGCACATCACAACAATTTCTTCTTGTGCCAACAAAACATCGAAATAGATTCACAAACAACCGTAACTGACTTTAGACTAAATTTTCCCGAAATGGTACAAAGTTCAATGATTGTGGCAAGAAGCCAGATTGAAAGTGCTATTTTGATCATGATAATAAATCTTCTGGAAGGAAATTTACATGTTTAACTTTGCAAACGACACGTGAAATCACGTGTTGAGTTTGAGGTCTACATTTTGTTTTCATTTTAAAAACCGTAGTAATTTTTAGTTCAATAGTTAGTTTTTGAAATTATTTACCTACACTGTTACGACACATGTATTATTTTTACATTTATTTGACCTTACCTTATACCATATCTTCTTCTATCTTCCTTTTTTAAGAACATTGCCCTTACTTTAGGATAACAGTATCCTGTGTTGTAAGGACGATTTACAAACATAAATTTTACATGGACAGACACTCAGATACGAAACAATTATCTGTGTGTCGCACAAATACATGTCCCGTGTGGAACCCACGACCTCCGACGCGTAAGCCAATACTTTTCTTGTAAGGAATAAGTCTCATAAATGCTCAACAGGATTTAAGTGCGGACTACGTGCTGGCCACTTCATGCACTCAATTTGGATCTTCTTGCAGTTACTTAAAACAGAATTAGTCGGTATTGAGTGACAGCCCAAGCCGAGGCTTCCTCGGGATCCCCGGAGCTTAGTCACCCTTAAATCGAGGTACAGGCTAGGCGCCCTCCGTGCCCTGCCGCCTCAAGCCCGGTGGATCTGTAAAGGATATAGCTAATGATAAAGCCAATAGTGGGTGATCTAGCCAAAAACAAAAACCGAACTAGCAGTATGTGTACACGCGATGTCCATCATTAGCATAAAGTTTTCACCAATAAAACTGGCATAAAGAATAAAATTATCCCCTAGTACCTCCTCAATATATCGGTTCGCTGTCAAACCTCTAAGTTTGTCGCTAATTTCGATTAAAATCAACTTGTTTTTTGACTTAATTGATGCCCATACTATATCCAGGAATATCCTCCAAATGCCACATTTTCACTTATGGTGGATCGCTTTCCAGAAGGTGTCTATCGCCGTTTTTCTGGACTCGTGTTGGGCTTGAACACCAGAAAGGGCCATTCTGGGCAAAGTACTGACGATCATCCCTCTCTGTTGTACATCTATCTCGATACACTAATCCCGCGGTATCACTTGAAACTCTGGACACAACTAACTGGACTGTTTAACACGCGGGATTTTAGACAATCTGAGTTTTTAATAATAAGGGAGCCGCAGGGCGGCAGATTGTGGGATTCACTGCAGCTCCGTGGAGGGCTCGAGAGGGGAGCCGTTTCCATTGCACCGACACGGCACCATGTGGCTGGAACGGGTGTCTTAGTACTAGGATAGAGGAGGACACTAGGGTTCGCGGAAGATTGCGTTTTCGTGGTCCCATGTCCCCGGCAAAAGTGACAGCGTAGGTGAAAAGTGGGTTTTTTAATGGATACCTTCGTGTTACTCGGCAACTCCCATATACCCCTGCTACCTGTCCACAAGCCGGCGGGGAAAAAATTTAGTGATGCTTCGTACCGAATAAAAAACGTGTATGGATATTGCTTCCATTATCCATACATCCATAATTGGAGTGTCCGTTTGTAAAATTAACCGTTTTTTACTAAATGCATATGGATGTATACACGGTACATATACCAAAATAATGTTTTTTACAATTTTTGTCTGTCTGTCTGTCTTTTTGTTCCGGCTAATCTTTGAAATGGCTGGACTGATTTGGACGGGACTTTCATTGACAGATAGCTGATGTAATAAGGAGTAACTTAGGCTACTTTTATTTTCGATTTTTTTTTTATTTTAAATTCCACGCGGACGAAGTCGCGGGCACAGCTAGTATAAAATAAATACGTTCACTCATAGATAGTACGACTAATGACTCTGACAATGAATTATAAAAATATTACGGTGTTCGCGGTCAATTTAATAGGTATTTATTGTTTATCTTTGTTTGGAAAATCATATTCTGCTGTCGCATGAATGAGCAGGCTCGTCAGAAGTTCTATAGCATCACAGAACACCGGCGTGACTTAATTTGCTTATAATACTTTGCTTATAATTTTTCGTTACGTCTGATGAGAGCGGTGACCCCACACTTTCAATGGACTGCAACCAAGTGGATGTTCTAAGTCTCTATGACCGATGGTAGTCAGCTGAATTGTGTCCAACCTAATACAATATTTGACATAACCGTAGACGAGCGACATCTGATCAAATATGACGTCACGTCGAACATTATTGTACCCTTGAACCAAAGTTGTCTAACATGCAATAATATCTTGTATATTATAATTTGAACAAATTTTCTTAAATTTAATTAAGCTTAAGTATCCCAATATCAAGTTTATGCTATTAAAGAACTGACATTGGAGCGAAGGCCGTGTGTGCGGTAGGCAGATGCACTTAATGAACCATATTTTGAACTTGCTTTGTATAAATTTCTTTGGCGAAAATTTGTTCGAAGAAACCGTCTTTTTAGCATCAGTCAATTAAACGCACAACGGGTCCCGAATTTTTGCTGTTGACATTCTCAGTATTTGAACGGTGAGGTGAAAGGAAAAGGGCCCTTTGCACGCGTAGTCTTTCCGGCCGAGTTATCATCGCCATGAGAAATAGGTGATAGGTTTAAATCTTTGATTGTACTCTCATAACTTACTTAAGGCGCTGTATGCAGTGAATTTTTAACAATTTGGGTGGTGAAGTATGAGGAAGCGGAGGAGGGGTAATGCCGCTTAGCGGCGCGCAGCGCGCGAGTTTCGTCAACGCGCCGCTAGACCAAGTCATTCTTTACCTAGTGTGTGTGTAGTGATGGGCCGTAGGATACTATCGATAGTATCATGGAAGGCTTTCGAAAATGTACACAGATGATCCCTATAATATCTTTTATAGACCATGATTGTATTTTAATTTTATATTATAATAGGAATAATAATAAACAAACAAATATAAAGTATGAGAAAGCAATCAACAGTTTTAGTTTCAAATCTTCTTCCTGTTTATTATTTTTTTTTAATTAAATGGAAAAGGAATTGATTAAAAATACATCTTAAAGTCATATAAGTTAATAAAGGCAAATTACTTATAATTATTATTGTTTGTTTTTATGGTTTATATTGTGATTTTAAATAAATGGCTCATAAAATTTTTGCAGAAACTACGAATACAACTTTTTTTATAATTTTTTTTTATATATTAGGAATTTTAATTTATCCTTTAAATGTTCCAGACTTACTGTTATATTACTTTTTCAACTTAAATGAAATTTAAAAAACTATCGATAAAATCCTTATTTGTATCGATAAACGACAGCATTTATAACTCGAGAATCGAAATTTTATCACTTTGCACAGACCTAATGTAGCCTGTTGGTTCGAGCGTCATACACAACGGTAAACTATTGCTGTAGTCCCAAGTTCAAACCACTCATCGAGTGGAGTTGTATTTTTATATTATTTTCACTTTTAATTTGTTAGCCAACTAATTATTTTATTTTTATTTTATAAAATGGCTCGATTTGGGAAATAAACAAATTATAAAAAAAAATATAAAATAATTATATTTCGTGTACCAGAAAAAATTTCGTTTTAGGGTGAACAATTAAATAAATTAATAAAAAAAAATAGATGACGTTAAAAAATTTTAATGCTAAAATTTGGTTTATTTATTGATTGATTGTTCTCCAACTGCTTCAACTTTGAACAAATACAATAATATTTCGTATAAGTACAATAATATTATTTATGAAAATAATAAAATCATCAATAAGTACAACAAAAATTTTGGGATTTGAACCCAATCCCTAAAGAATGATGGTCCTATACACTGTATGTATAGGACTGATAGACCAATCAATCACGAAATAAGACATTGAAAGTATGCTTTAAATAAATTAATTAACAACTGTTAATACATACAAATAATTTATAAATACGAAATATGTGAATATATATTTTTTAGTTCCGTCTTTTCGAAGGTCTAATAAAATTAAAACTCAATAATAAATAAATACGAAACATATTTCGTACCGGTGAGCGGGCGATGAGCGGCATAGGTCCATCTAGCAAGGCGCCTCAGCGCTCTCTGTTCAACGTGTGGAGTTGGAAGAGAACCGAAACAATGCCGTGGTGGCGCGGTGTTTTGGCCATCGCGTTCGAATTAATTTTAATGAATTAAATTAATATTTACAAAAAAGTAAGATAACTTCAATCAACAAATTAAGACAACAGTCCTT